CATACTTTTGACTATTGATCATTATTTATTAATGAGATTAACATTTACTGCATAGTGGTGAGCACTACTGTTCCTCTTGTGCTCATCCCCACTTGCTCTTCATTGATGCAGGTTAGTATTGCGGGCACGACAGAGGGAGGCGAGTGGTGGTCTATAATTGAATGTTGCTTCCGCCTATTGAATTGTCTTATGATATTATTGCGTTTTGGAATAATGGATATTGGATTATTGAGATTTGAATTATTGTTATGGAGATTCTTCTTATTTTCTTTTAAGGATTTATGATTGTTTAAATGAGAAATGATGATTGATGATTGAGAATTGCCATTAATGTTGATTATTGGAAATCGCTTTTGAAAATGAGTAACGCCTCAATTAGTAATGAAATAAATTTTGAAAAATTTATTCTGAATTTCGTCTATTAAAAGTGGGGCGTTACACTTCTTAAAAAAAAATATTAGTTAGATGTTTTTAAAGTGTGATTGTTACATTCATTTTAAATACTAAGTCACACAAAGATGATTAATCTCTCATAAGATATCCAATCCTATTTTACTGTATAACTAAAATAAGACAAGCTAAATTTAGCATATAAAAAAAAAAAAAAAACCTTCTTTGTGCATACTAAAATTTAAAATAGCCCCTAGCGCTGTTGTTTTGCAGGTTCATCCGACTGTGGTTCTGATGACGACGAGGCCGCTTTAGCGTATCTAGACAAGTTCGACCGGCTCAAGATTTAGTATTATTATTTACATCATCTTTTGTTATTTAGTTTCCTTTTGTTATTTATTTGATGTCCTTAATTATCATGCCTAGTTTAGGAAATAAATAATCCTCTTGCACTTGTTAAGCAAGAGAAGGACTCTTTTTTCTATTTATTGAACAGAAAGATGAGATGCAATTCATTCATCGTTGAAATAAAAATTATTGTTCTTCTTCTGCAAGAGAGAGTATATCTTATTTACAAGTCTTGAGAGAGTATCTCAAGCATCCCAAGCACACGTTCTACATCAGTTGGTATCCAGAGACCAGCTATCAATCCACGATGCCGCCTAAGAAGGATACCGCCATGGACGAGAGAATTCAACGACTGGAGGACCGATTCTAGGCCATGGATGATCGTCACGCGGACCTTTCAGCCGGTATAGAGGAGATACGGTCGACGATGCAAACAATGATGACCGAATTTCGTGCAAACCGCGACGGGACGAACCGGGGCCATCGCGGTGGGGCTCGTGGGGGTCGCGGAGGTCGAGGGTTTGACGGGGCGCCCCGTCATCGATCGCCGCCACCACTGCAATCCGGTGACGATTCTGACGAGACGATCTCCGGCATGAACCCTTTCGCGGCTGAGGCGCGTGAGCGGGGTCGGGCTACGAGGGTTCCAGCACGCAAGAACCTGGACAGGGACATCGACCAATTAGGATTTCCAGCGGCTAGGGACGGGAGGCGTCCTCAGATTCATCGCGCCATGGCCAGCGACGTAGATGACGATTTCTGGCACGGCGAGGACTTTGGTGTCGATCAGCGTCGGCGAGGGAAACCACCAGAGGACGGCGGACCTCCGTCCTTCGGGTACTTCTCGGACGTGGAGGACGAGTGCAGCGACGGCGAGGGGCTGGGGCGTCACGGTGGACGTCGGCGGGCCAGGGATGATGCGGGTGGGCGACAAGAAGGTCTCGATGAACGGCGCGGGGGCATGCATCCGATAGAAGGGGCGATGCGTCGCGTTGGGAGTCGGGTTTCCGTGTCGACATCCCCGAATTCACCGGTGGTGTTGATGGTTCCGAGTTTATTGATTGGTGGGCATCGGTCGAGGCGGTGCTTAAATTTAAGGAAGTACCGGAAGATAGACGAGTCGCATTGGTCGCAACCTGTTTTCGGGGACGGGCAACAACATGGTGGATGCAATTATCAAGCGTGCGGCATCGTCAAGGGAAACGTGATATTACTTCATGGTCAAAATTCCAAAAGGTTGTAGAACGTGAGTTCGTGCCATTTAATTATGATAGTATCGTTTATCAACAGCTGCATAACTTACGTCAAGGAACACGGTCGGTGAGCGATTATACACACGAATTTTACAATCTTTTGTCACGCATTGAACTTCAGGAATCAAAAAATCAAGTGGTTGCACGGTATGTCGAGGGCATGAGACCGGGTATTCGTAATACGGTCAATCTCTTCAGGCCCAATTCTTTACTCGATGCACATCAACGGGTGACACTTGTCGAGACTCAACTTGGGCAGAAATCGACCTTTCCGTTGGGCGGGGCAGCACGACAATGGCAACAGGGGGGAGCAGCTTTCCGGTCAGCCGGACGCCGCCTCAGGGAGCTGCCACCTTCTCCAGCGGGCAGGGCCTTCCCGGAAAGATGCCCGCAGCCAGCAGCGGGCTTACGCATGGCGGGGGTCCATCCGGACAACCCTCGGCTGCGGTGGGACAGCGGGGTTTCGCCGGCCTCCATTGCTTTGCGTGTGGCGAGGCGGGCCACCAGCAATCGGCGTGTCCCCGTGGTGCGGTTTCCAAGGCATTGTTTACGGAGGATGTGGGGGACGCTGAACATTCCGAGGATTATGATGGTGAGCCGATTTATGATATCGAGGGTGGTGACGTGGAGAAATTTGTGAGCGGGGATACGATTGGATCGGTGTTGGTCATTCGCAGGACTTGTTTGGCTCCCAAAGGCTCGGACCTCGTGGACAATGAGCGGAATCACCTCTTCGAATCCACTTACACAATGGGTAACAAAATTTGTCGTTTTATTATTGATTTTGGTGCGTGTGAAAATGTTATTTCTCAGGAAGTGATTGACAAGCTGGAATTGTCGTGTGAGCCTCACCCACAACCTTATACTTTGGCGTGGATTCAGCGTGGTGGTGCGGTGACGGTGGACAAACGGGCCTTGTCTCCTTTTCCATTGGGGATACCTATCGTGATAGGGTCTGGTGTGTAACACCCCGCTATTTTAAATACATCAGAGTGCGCGATTTTTCGCAAATTTTCTGAATAATTAAACAAAAACTTATTTTTGCGAAAACTGATCGGGATGCTACCGTGAAAACTTGATTTTTCTGAGAACCGTTTAAAAAATTTAAACTGATAAATAAAAACGGTCATAATGTCTTATCCG